CTGGAACGTTTCACGGAAAAAGTTAAGACATCCGCTGGCCAATGATATTTCTTCGCCATGATATGAATTTCTGTACGTGTCTCGCGAGAATCTGTGTAATGGAAAGCATAAATGCAGGATTTCATTATACAACACTTATTCCATTTATAAGAGCATCTTTTAATTAATAAATTAGTTGCATTTAGTAAAATTTTAACTCGACGATAAAAAGAGCGAGTTGATCTTATTATTTATTTGTTTATCTTTTAGTTTGTTTTATTAACATCTTCAAAAAATAAGGGAGATTAAATAAGGGAGACATACTAATTATTTCTTTAACAGTAGTTTCTCTATTAGAAAAAATGGTTTTTTTACATTTCTAATAGTACACTGAAAAAAAGATTGGCTGCTGCAGCAAATTAGATGGTAAAATATGGCATAGCATTTTTAATTGGCTGCGTTAACCTATTTGCAATGTCAACATAGGATTTCGATAGACTAACACAACCAAAAATTGACTGCTGCAATCAATTAAAAATGCTATGCCATATTTTACCATCTAATTTGCTGCAGCAGTCAATCTTTTTTTTCAGTGTATATCTAGGAATATGGGACATATGAAATGTGTTAAATTTAACACAAATTTTGCAACGGTAGTAAAAAAAAGAACGTATATTAAACAATGACAAATTCTATAAACAATTTGCGTCGACTACGGTTCTTCACTTCAAGGGGGCTACGGTAAATCGCATGTTGCCGACTCTCTCTCGTGTACTCGTCTTCGGCCTCAATGGCTGCTGCCGATCAGAGAATTCCGAGTGATCGATAAAGATCTAAATCCGTTGAATTCGTTCAGACAGCGAGAAGGAGGAGAATACGTGATACACACAAAAGGAAGGAAGATTCCCGTCACTGCTTCCTTGATCGGGAGAGTTTAATTCCTCCTCGACCGGAAAACGAAGAAAAAAACGAGAAGCCGCGTCGAATCGAATATTTGGGTCAAATGGATTTCGAGGTCCCTTTCTTCCTCTCTTTCTCTTTCTCTGCGGCCAAGGAAGACTTTCAGTTTCGCAATGAAGGCCGACAATAATTTTGAGACTCGTCACTTCTCTGCCATGAGCTCTAGATTCTCCGTCGAAGATTTATCAGATAAAAGAAATATCTACTTTTACTACAATCTATCATCCCAGTTAATATGTAAGAAGGAAATATTCTCTGAGAGAAATTCGCGAGTGTGACTTTTGCGACCGAAATCTCTTTCACTTGGCCATTATTATAAATCGACGTTTTTCTTCTGCTTCTCTCTTTCTCAGTTAATTTAATTATTCTGCAAACTGTAGACAGAATTAGTTTTAACGATTATTAACCGTAAATCAGTATCAATCTTTAACGATTATTAATATCGTTTATAAACAAGATAAAATTGTGAAACTTCACGACAGACAAAATTAATCTTTCTTGATTATTCTATTTTTGTTTGATTTATATAGCCAAAAATTGCAGGAGCCGAATGACACAGCATTTACATATACGTGTCGAGGTCGCAAGAAGAAGAGCAGAATCTACATAAAAGAGTAGAATCTGCCTGTATCAGTTTCATTATTATGTCATTCTTGAATTAGCTTCATCGAAACGTAGCTTCTCTTCGTCTATATCTATACACGTTAATCAAAGGAGAAAGGGGAGATGGACCTCGAACGTAAGAGGATACCATTACTTAGCAAGGCTAACTTTTCGTCGACCGATGGTCACGTGTCCGAATTGGGGAACTCGTTCCGCTCGTGATCTACTTTTCTGTGTCGTGGCAAAAGCATCTTGCATTATTACAGTACGCTGAAAAAAATTTTGTTCATTTTTGGTCCAATGAATGATCGTTAACTAATGTCCGACTTAATGTCCGACTTAATGTAGTTAATTCATTAATACAGTAACTGGATTCATTTATACAACTATATATTCATTCTTGCAATGAATTCTAGGAATAGTTTTATAATTTAAATGATTATGAGAATTCATTGGACCAATTTTCATTATTTTTTCATAATTCAATGAATATTTTATTGTATTTACGTATTTACAGTTTTGGTTCAGTGTAGAAGTCGACACGTGCTTGCAGAATTATACCTTTCATAATTTTCTATAATTTTGTGTCAAACGACGATATAATTAAAAATAAACGAGTTTTGGTTTACCAATCTCTCTCTCTCTCTCTCTCTCTCTCTCTCTCTCTCTCTC